CCTGAAGCCAGCCAGGAAGGTTCTGTGATCTCTTAGTTTATACATGAGGCCCAGATGAGGATCCTTCTTGAAAGTCACACAGGAAACTAGCCAGGCCTGTTGAGCTCCACGTCCACCCTTCTTCCATCGTACTGGATGCCATGGTCTCCCGTCCAAAGAGCCCAGCTTCTGTGTGTCCTTGAGAGGAGTGGCCTTAGGGAAACTTGGAAGAGGGAGGGCTGAACTAGTCTGTTTTGCGTTGCTGTAACAAAATACCAGAGGCCGGATACTTTAAAAAGAAGAGAAGTTTATTATTAAGTTCTGAACACTTAGAATCTAAAATCAGGCAACCCTTTCAGGCCACTGGTGAGGGTCCCCTTTTCTGTATTTCAACATGACAGTGGCTTGTGGGAGGGGGAGATCACGTGTGGAGACACACTGAGGTCCAAGCTTCCCGTGTAGGAACCCTTGGGGGACAGAGCACATCCAGACCCGGTAGAGGGTGGGGACTGCCCTCAGTGCACGTGGTCTGCTGAGTTTTCTCAGCGAGAGGCCCCCTATTTGCATGTCTGCAGGGATTGGCTGAGAGATGGGCGTGTGATTCCAGCCGGACCAATCAGAGCTGACCGCGGGGCTGGTTCTGAAACTCTAGGGAAAGGAGGGCCTTTCTCTAAATGCACAGAGAGGGAGCCTGGATGGCCTGGGGACAGCCCAGTGTCCCCACGGGGAAGTCCTGCTTGGTAGTGAAGTCACCAGGAGAGGGTGGAGCCAAGTCGTGGGGAGAGAGCGGCTTTCTGAAATTGAAAGGACAACTGGGTACGGTGGCGGTGCACGCCTGTCATCCCAGCGGCTGGGGAGGCTGAGGCAGGAGGATGGAGAGGACAGAGGCTGGGGAGGCTGAGGCAGGAGGATGGAGAGGACAGAGGCAGCCTCAGCGAGGAGAGGGGCTCAGCAACCCAGCAAGACCCTGCCTCAGACTGTGAGAAGGGTGGGCTGTGGCTCAGTGGCTAAGCGCCCCCGGTTCCATCTCTGGGCCCAAACAGGAAAGGACAATACCTATTAGAGGGTGTCCTGAGAACTGAGACCCGAGAGTGCTTTGCTTCTGCTACCTGAGTGTCCTAGTGTCACCGTCACCTTGGTTGTCAACAGATCCGCAAGTCCCCAGGCACCAGGGACTTTAATTCCCCAGCGCTCAGCAGTGTTGGGTACACAGTAGGCGCCCAATCCATGCTTGCCCAATCAATTGGGAAGTAAATCTGGCCTCCCAAGTAGAGGGGGCTACTTGGGGACAGCGGCTGAGTCACCCAGACCTTCTGTCCTTGCCCTTGCCCTCGCCCTCACCACGTTTTTGCATAACAGGGATGGTTTTCACCCCTAAAAAAAAATTCTAACTCAATTATCGTGTGACTATTTATCAGTTAGGACCAAAGGAATGAAAATAAGTCCCCAGGCACAAACCCCGGGATGTGTGGGGCAGTCGCTCTAACGCGGAGCTCAGCCCTCTACTGATTCCATGTTTTCCTTTGGAAACCCGACCACGCCAGGCTGCCCTGCAATTTGGAAGCGAGACCCGGTTCTCACAGGGTCCCTTGCCCTGTTGGGAGGGGTGTGGGCGACCTTGGCCGTCACCGCGGGCGCAGAATGGGGACGTCAGGTAATGGGGAACAGCTGCTTGCCTCGGGTGGCCTCCCAGGCCCCCCAGTGGGTGACGGGGTGCCTCAGACAAAGGACAGGCGGTTGGGGTTGGCGGGGGCTCCGCGGGGAGCGGTGGAGTCCTCTGGCCAAGTTCACCAGGCTCCAGGCCACATCTGTCCCCAGCACCCAGAGGGAGGGGACGCACCCTGTGGTGGGGGGACACATCCCCCAGGATCTGATGCACAGAAGAACTGACCTGGGCCCCAGGAGCTGCCTGGGGTGGCCCCTGCTGGCCTCTCCATCCTGGAGTGGGCCTCCAGCGTCCCTGGGCACTCCGCAGCCACGTGCCAAGCTCATGTGTCCCTCAAGGTCTTGGCTGTCCCTCTGCCCACAGCCTGACCCTCATCTGACCCCACGTTTGCACGTGACGCCCCCATTCCCGCTCTGTGGGTCTCAGCACCAATGCCATTTCCCCCAAAGGCCAAGCCTGTGACCTCTGAAGGGACCATGGCCTCCCTCCCTGGCCACTCGTCATCAGGGCACCCTGAGTGACCCTCTGCCCAGCCCTGACCTGGCTGGAAATGACCTCTTTGTTTATTTGCTTCCCGTGTGTCCCCCCATAAACTCCAGGGGGGCTCGGGCACTCATTTCTGGGTTCTTGTCCCCGCAGGGTTGGAGTGCAGCGGATATTTGGGAATGAACGACGTCGTGGAGGGACGGATGCCTCACCTGCCTGCCTTGTCCTGAGTCGCTCTGTCCTGCGGGCCACTTGGTGACACAGACGTCTGTTTAAAATGGACCTGAGGCCATGGCCTCCCTCTCCACCAAACCCTCTATAGCTCCCAGCTGCTCTGATGACACAGAGACCCTGCAAAGGTGGACCCCCATCTGCTGCCAGCTGCCCATCTCTGTCATCCTGAAGAAGAGGTGCCCGTGGGGTCCACCAAGGTGACCCCAGAGGACACCGCTTGGCGCTGGAGGTGTCTTTGCACCGATATCAGAAAACGGTGATGTTCCAGGAATTCTCTTTGGACCAGAGAACGAGGCCACGGACACCCGACTGGTGAGAGGCTGGGACGCCGCCCCGTCTCCTCGTGTCACCCCACCCGGGTCAGGCTCAGGGCAGGGACAGGACGTGACCTTTGCAGACCAATGCCAAGGAGCATCGGGGCCCGAGCCGTGGGGGGCCAGCGTGGGGGAGAGGGCCTTCAGTGCTTCTTGTGACCTGGGCGGAAATGAGCACATGTGACAGGGGACAAGGGGAGACAGAGGGCTGTCACCACAGTGGGGTCTCGCGATCATGGGCGCCTCGCGTGCCCAGGGTCTCTGCGGCTTCCCCCACAGCTGCCGCTGCGCTCGATGACTCTGTCGGAGGGACACTGTCACTGCCGGGTGACCCTGAGCTGAGAGGGAGTCGGCTTCCACCTTTGGTTCTTTCAGTAGAAGTTCCAGAGGGAACAGCCCAGTGGCCCCAAAGCAGGAGCTCCCCAGTGACGTCACAGAAAGCGGGTGACAAGTTCCAGGCACACCCCTTCCCTCCGAGCTGACAAGGGACCCAAGGTCTTGTGCTTGTGGCCCCGTGAGCCTTTTACTTGGCCAAATTGGCCCTTTTGTGACGGTGGCCCTGGGCTCTGCCGTGTGGTGACCTCCGCAGACGGGGCGCGCACCCCACTTCTGGTCATTTTTAAAGTCGGGCCCCTGCCCGGGCGTCGCCCTGTGTCCTCCCGAGGAAAGCTCTTCCTGGTCCCCTGGTCCTCTGACCCTGGTTGACCTTGGCTCATCTCCTCCTGACCTCGTGTCCCCCTGTGACTTCCCGCCCTGGTCCTGAGTCCTCCGTTGTCTCTGGTTCGGTGACACCGGGTCCTGGCTGTCCTTCTAGAAGTTCAGCCCGGCTTGCTCAGTCCACGTCCCCTCCCCGCTGTGTCCTGTGTCCCCAGCGATGCCCAAGCAGATCGGCGCTGGCCCTGTGTCTGTGACCATGGCCAGGCTTGGTCCCAGTGCCATCGTGGGAACTGGGCCGATGTGGCCACTCCCTAGGGCAGGAGAAGCCCCTGCGGCAGCGCCGTCCACCTTGCCCTCGTGGCCACAGTGCCTCCAAGGACAGGAAGCTCCCCCCTCCCTGGGACTGTCCCTTCCCTGCTCCGACAGCCTTATCCGGGAGCCCGAGCTGCTGACAGGCCCGAGAGCCTGCAGTCACTGTTTCCTGCTGCGCTGAGGGTGGTGCAGCCCGGGCAGCTGTCGGCCTGCCTCCTGGGTCCTGCTGGGGCCCGCGGGTGACATCCGTCATCACCTCCACTGCTCACCAGGACGGCTCCGGGCTGCCCCTGCCTCTGGCCATTCACAGGGAACAGATGACAGACAGCAGGTCTGGCCGGATGTAGCCCCTTATCGCGGCTCTGCGGCCTGTGGCCCATTGAGAAGTTTGGGGACACTTTATCGATGAACTCCGGGGCGGGCCCTCTTGGGGACGAGGCTCCTGAGATAGCAGGAGCTGCTGACGTGACTCGCTTTCCCAGGGAGGGACAAAGTCAATGTCAGGGCCGTCCCAGGAGAAAGACACCGCGGGGCCAGGCCTCACAGTGGGAAAACGGAGCCCAGTGCGAGGAGCAGAGCTGCTGACCAGGGTCATCTGGGGGATCACGGCTGAGACGCAGGGCTCCTGAGAGCAGGAGAAGGCCCTGGTGCCCTTGGCGAGCTGGATCAGAGGGTACAGATGATGAGTCTTGAGGGTCGTAAGGCTTGAAGTATTTGTTCCAAAAACATACAAAAAAAAAAATAATCCGCCAGCAGCCCACAGTGAGCGAGTTCTTTAGATCCCAGTTCATAGCTATTTATGAGATGACGTCTTGGACATATCCCTGAGATACACGTGAAAAGAGAAATTTTGAATAACTGCATTGATTGGATCTGCCAATCGTCACGGAGCCCACCTAGTTCATTCCTGTAATGGGACTGAATCCCCTGAAACTGTATCCAAACCTTTCTTCCCTTTAAGCTGATTATCTCGGGTATTTTGTCACAGTAACACAGAGCTGACTAACACAAGATGAACTCGACATACCTATAGTCATCCAAGAGGAGGTTGCCAGGGGCACCTGAATATAGAGTGAAGTCCAGGGACACTTTATCCGTGAGTTGATCCTGACTCTCAAACCAATATCACTACCTCTTAGGCCCTGGGAAGAGGCCCAAGGTAGTAGTGATATTGGTTTGGGCGTTGTTAACCTCAACAAGGTGCTTAAAACCTACACAGGACAGGATGACATTGGTCATCAAGAGAACGAGTGCGGTGGGAGAAGAAGAGGAGTCAGGCCTGGGCCCAGCAGCCCTAGGTCAAGGCAGCCAAGGAGACAGAGGAGGAGAACCCAGAGGAATGGTCTTCTGAAGGGGCAGCGAGTGCTTCAGGAAACGGAGCCAGCAGCTACGTCCACTGCTGCTGATTGGTCAAGAGACAGTGAGGAGTGACCACTGACCACGTGACTTAGCAACTTGGCGGTCACCCTTCAAAGGCACGCCCCCAATGACCTAACTTTCTCCCAATAGGCCACACCTCTTAAAGGTTCCACACCCCCCCAGGGCACCAGAGGCTGCAGGGTCCTGGGCTGCTCTGGAGACGCAGGGGTTGGACGCCGAGGAGAGCGTTTGGAGACACGGGCGACTTGCTGCCAGGAGGAGCCAGAGGCGAGGGCTCAGGTGAGGGCTGCGGAGCCCCTTCCCTCCCTCCCAGGACTGAAGGTCAAGGCTGGAAGGCTGGGCCTCGTCCTTTGACCACAGCCTCCCGTCCCCTTCCACTGCCCGGGGGACGTTCAGGGCCTGCGCCCCCTTTCTGTGTGGACAAGTTGGCAGAAGTGGATTAATCCACCAAGACAGGCCCCAGCAGGAAGGAGCGAGGGAGCGTCTGGGAGAAAACAGGGCGGAGTCGTCTGCACGAAGGGCCTGGAGGAGGGCTCTCAGTGTCACTATCAGGTGACCTCTCTGGTCTGAGGACCAAGTCACCAGGTGACAGTGGCAGGAAGGCGTGGCGGAGGCTCTGAGGGGGCCCAGAGCCCAGCAAGGGGGGACCTGGAAGCCGCCGTAGGGTGACAGGCTGGAGTCCGATGCCCAGAGGTCCAGGGCTGGCCGAGGGAGGGCGGCCTGCTTGGACCACAGTGGCCAGGCCCGAGGGGGCAGGAACAGGAGACCCTGCTGAAGGACAGTCCCTTCCGCTGCTGGCCCTTCCTGGAGGCTTCCAGTCACAGTTTGTACCAAGAAGATGAACGGGGCGTTTGTGGGACAAGCTACAGGTCACGTCGCTGCAGTAGGTTCCCAGGTCACGACTGGTGCCCTCTGCCCTCCTGTCACTCCTCAGTTTGGAGGGGGTAAGGGTGTACTGGGATGGAAATCGGGGGCGCTTCACCCCTGAGTCCCGTCCCCAGCCCTGTGTCGCATATTATTTAGAGACAGGGTCTCGCTGAGGTGCTTAGGGCCTCACTTTGGCTGAGGCTGGCCTCCCACTTGGGATCCTCCTGCCTCAGCCTCCAGAGCTGCTGGGATGACAGGCGTGGGCCACCACACCTGGCCCAAAGCCCTCCCTGTGACCAGCGCTCCTGCTAATGGGTTTGGGTCTGGTGACTAATGGGACCTCTGTCTCTGGGGGTGGACTCCCCAGTCACTGTGCTGTGGTCAGACTGTAGTTGCCCATAATCATTGTCCCTGGACAGAGGGACACCAAGAGGAGGGGCAGGCCCCTGAGTCCTGCGTGTTCTTTCCTGACCCCATCATCTGGCCGCGGCCCAATTTCCTCTGCTGATCGGGATTCAGCGTCCCCACAAGCACAGGAGCTCAGGTTTGACTGTTGCTTACTGCTCCCTTGGCACCGGGAGCCTGCAGGGTCGGGCGAGTGGTCACTTCAGGTGTCCTTGGGAGGACTAGGTCCTTTTGGTTACCCCGGGCCATGTCAGGAGGCCCAGAGTGCCAGTCCAGCAAGTGAGTGGTGGTGACAGGCCACCCAGCTTCCACCCTTGTGCCCCATGAGGTCATCGGCTGGGCCCCAGCCTGTGGGACTGTGTGGCATCTTATAGCATCTCAGAGTAAAGATGTCACCGTGGGGAGCTACGGAAGCTGGTCCTGCCCACCCGCTGCCAAAAAAGTGAATAAACTGGCAGCACCTATCAGACCAACTTTACTGCAAGTTGGAAAAGTAAGACTTCCTCGTAGCCAAGAATGTTACATCAAGGACAAACAGGGAACAAAAGTCACCAGGTTGGGTGCCGTGGACCACGCCTGTCATCCCAGTGGCTTGGGAGGCTGAGGCAGGAGGATTGCAAATTGGAGGCCAGCCTCAGCAACTTAGTGAGGCCCTGAGCAACTCAGGGAGACCCTGTCTCTAAATAAAATGTAAACAGGGCTGGTCTGATCAGCATGATATTTCCCAAAGTATTTCCAGTAGGCTTTTTTGGGAGATAGAGAGAAACAGAGAGGGGAGAGAGGACAGGGGCTGGAGACAGGCTCCCACCTCTGACACCACCCACGAATTCCCGGGTGCAGACATTTTGTCAATCCTTGTTAGGACAGAGTTGAACAAAACGTATGAACTACAGGACCTGGAAACATTTTGCACGGTTCCTGGGCACAGTATCTTGGGGAGGCAATTTGTGAACAGACTTTAGGGAAAGTTGGATTTGGGGGGGTCTGTAGGATCCCTTTCAATCCAGAGAGACTGGAATTCAAAATGCAGTGTTTTGACTTGGGTCTGCGGAGATGCTAAACCACATCCTGATTCATAAACACCACCCCAGTCACGGGCAGCAGTGGTGTTTACATGGGGTTGCAGAGGGAATTTTTAGAATTCCAGTTGCTAAAACTGTGTGCAAGGCGGGTGCGGTGGTGCACGCCTGTCATCCCAGCTGCTTGGGAGGCTGAGGCAGGAGGATCAGAGCCAGCCTCAGCCAAAGCGAGGCCCTCAGCAGCTCAGAGAGACCCTGTCTCTAAATAAAATATAAAAAAGAGCTGGAGAGGGGGCTCAGGGGTCCCGTGACCCTAGGTTTCCCCAAACAGAACCTCCCGTGAACTTGACCGTGATTCGCAACACAGGGCGCTCCCCTGTCAGCTGACCTTGGCGGGACTCTCCACTCTTAGAAATTGGGAGCCACCTCCATTGTCCCCCTGTCCCACCAAAGTCTGGGGAGTGTCTAAAGTCTCAGAAACTCCCAGCCCCAGGCAAGTGTCTCAGAGACTCTCAGTTGCAAAATCAAAAAGGCTTTGAACGTTTGCAGAAAGACTCAGGCTCAGGAAAAGAAATGTCCCCTGGTGCACTTGGTCCCCGCAGGAGAGGCAGAGAGCAGGCCCAGCCCACAGGCAGCCCCCGGGGAACTGGCCCCGGAGGACATTAATCCCACAACAGGCTTAATTGCTAATCAGAAAAATGTGCACAGTCGGACGGACCCCCGTTCAGAACGCTCCCTTTGTTGTCGTGTTCTGGTGACCACGAAAGTACCCACAGGAAAGGAATTCATCCATCCAGCCCGGATGGGGGCCCTAAGTGGATTTGCACTTTTAAAAATTGAATTTTTCCCATCCTGGGAGTTCTCAGGAAGCTGCGAGATGGTGGGGGGCAGAGGGCACGACTCTGGAGTCAGACATGGATTTGCAGATATGGATGGGGGTGTCCTCGGGTCGGTCCCCAGCTCTGGCCCTGTACAGAGTCCAGAGATTGTTACAGAGGAACCATTGGCAGAGATTTGGGGTCAGTGAGCACACGGTTGGCTCAGTTTGGCTCTCTATGAAAAATGGGGTTCATGACCCCTGCTTTTGAGTGGAGACTGTGGACACCCGGAAGGAACAAGGATCTTAGCTGGGCGTGATGGCGCACACCTGGAATCCCAGCAGCTCAGGAGGCTGAGGCAGGAGGATCGCAAGGTGGAGGCCAGCCTCAGCAACTCAGTGAGGCCCTGAGCGTCTCTAAATAAGATAGAAAAAGGGCTGGGGACGGGGCTCAGGGGTGAAGCGCCCCTGGGTTCAGTCCCTGGTGCCAAATAATAATAATGACAAATAAACACAGAACATGGATCTTGCGTTGGGTGGACTTGGCTTTGAATTCTGGCTCTGCCATTTGGCCCAGCTACTCACATCCTGTCTCTGGGACCCTCAGTCTCTTCATCTGCAAACGAGTCTCTAGCACCCACCTTGAAGGGCTGTCGCTGCCAGTGGCTCAGGCCACGGGCCACACCTGCACAGAGGAGGACGTTGATGATCAGGATTTAAAACGGGGGCCTGGTGAGCCCACAGCACCCCACCTTCCAGCACGACGCTCACCTCCTCTGGGCATGGGGCTCCTCTTGCCTCTCAGCAGTAATGGAGCTTCCTGTGGCTCAAAGCTGTACCCAGGGCGGTCCCAGGCGCTGCCCCAGTCCCTGTCAAGCTGCACAGTGCACTGCCCACGTCGCCCGTCCTCCTTAAAGACGCTTCTCAAATACGCACCACGCCCTTACAGCTGTGCTCTGAGTATCCCCTCCAAAGCCCGCGTCAAGACTTAGTTGCCATTGTGACAGTGTCAGGAGGTCAGGTGATGCCCCCAAGTTGCTACTATCACTGGGGACAGGGACTGGTAAAAAGCAATAGATTTGTACGAGCTGAAGAAAAGCCGTAGTATGCAAGTGTGGGTTAATGATCACAAGAGCGGGTTTGTAAGAAATCTGGCCGCCTTGCACACTCTGTGTCACACACGCTCACTTGCCCTTCCGCCCCGTTACGATGAGACAGGAGGCCTTTCCCAGAAGCCTCTGCCGTGCTGTTGGGCTTCTCACCCTCCAGAACCACGAGTTAGAGAACCTTTTTACTTCATAAATTCCCCGGCCTCTGGTATTGTGTAATAGCAACAGAAAACAGACTGAAACACATACTGACTGAATTCTCCTGCGATGCTCCTTCTGGATCATGTGTCGTAGCTCATGTTGGGTGTCCACCAAAGCTGTCCCTTCTTGGGGCGATTGGAATCTCCTCATCATTCGCTTGCCAGTTTAGCTGTGTGGCACACTTAAAAGAAAAAAGTGACATTCATCAGCAACAAGAAGGCCTCTCCCATGAGGGAGCTGTCTGTGAATAATAGTTCCAAAGAACAAAGCTGTTTGCTGGCCCACCGCCTCGTCACCTCTGAACCCTGTGGCCCTAGTGAACGGAGACGGTGCATGTGTCCCTCGAGAATGACAAAGCTCTGTTCACGTGTCCCCTTTGGCCACCCACCCACTGCGCGTTCCTGCCAGGCTCTACCTCAGATGCCCACAGATGGTGCCTTTGCGATTCCCGACATGGTCAGCTGCTGCCAGGAGGAGGAGGGGGAGCATCGACGGGCCCAGATCCGTCCTGTCCTGGGCCCAAGACGAGGGCGAACCATCTCAGGATGGGACGTGAGGGTCACAGGGATTGGTTGGGACATTTCAGACGTCCAGGCAGAGAAGTGGCCCCGCACTAGTCCCAGGCACTGACCTCCTGAGACCTGCACTTGTCCCACACTCCAGGGAGGTTCACGGTGGCCCTGCGAGGGGACCGGACACAGCAGACCAGAGACCAGGAAACGGGGCCTGCTAATGAGCTGAGGGCTGAGCAGCAGGGACAGGACCCATGAGGGGACGGGAGTGGAGGCCACTGGTTAGGAGCTGCCCTGCTCCCCCCGGGGGCTCGGATTCTTCATGCTCCGTCTCTTCAGGAGACATTCTTGATGTGGGTTTTACTCTGTCCCTCCTCCCCCCAGAGCTCATGCTGCCAAGGTTATCCGATCCCATCTGCGGCTCAGGTCCTGCTGCCCAGGAAAGCAGAACGGCTCCCGCTGATCTTGAACTTGGACCGAGAGGGAACGTGGATAATCAAAACCACCAGCAGAAACGGCCGAGATACAGCACGTTCTGGGTTTCTTCTGCCAAGAAAAGGCAACAGCGAGGATGAGTGCTGGGGTCACGGGGCGCAGGTAGGTGTGATGGCTCTGAGGGAGCCACCCCCCAGTGTCACTGGTCTGTGTGACCTTGCCACCGGGGTGGAGGGAGCAGGGGAGCTTCCCAGCTCAGCTGGGCACTTGCTGTGTGACTTCAGCTAGCTGGGCAACCTCTCTGAGCCTTGGTTTCTCGGGCAGCTCTTGCTGACGTGGCTGGCGGACTCCTTGTGGGTAGGGCAGAGAGCAGGCCCTGGGGACCTGTGAATGGACTCAGTAGGGACACAGCCACACACGCACTGTCCCCAGAGCCACCTGGGACTGCACAAGGCACCCCTATTTCCCGGGTGGCCCCACATCCTCCTAAGGAGATGGCCCTTCCCTGACATTGCCGTGTCCACAGCTAATGGCCCTGCTTTGGATTTGGTCAGTGGCTCCAATAATAACCTTCTGGAAGCCCGCGGGTCTCTGAGGTCCAGCATCACCTATTATATCCCGTCCCGTCTCTTCGGCCAGCTTTGTCCTGGAGCCGTTCCCTGGTCAGCTTGTGTTCCTTGACCCCGGCAGAGCGCACTCTGATTCTTCTCTGGAACATTCCTCTAGTCGGGTTTGGCTGACGTCTCTGAGCATTGGATCTATTCTGTTTTCCCGTCGTCACTGTGCTGTGGAGGTTGAACCCGTCTTGTTCATACATTGGTCTCATTTCCTGTCTCCCCCAGGTGGGCACGGTGGCCCACTCCTGTCATCTCCGTCGCTCTGGAGGCTGAGGCAGGAGGATCGCAAGTTGGAGGCCAGCCTCAGCCACTTAGTGAGGCCCTGAGCAACTCAGGGAGACCCTGTCTCTAAATAAGATACAAAAAGGGCTGGGGATGGGGCTCCGTGGCTCAGCACTTGCCCTTTTCTCTGTCAGGACGGCCACAGAACTTGCAGTGTCCCCATGGGTCAGGGCAGGACATCAGTGGGCACGCAGGTTGGTCAGCTCCAGTGTTGAGGATGGTGGCCTGGGCTGTGTGCTGCCGGGGTCTCCCCAGCTCGAGGTCTCTCCACTCTGAAGTCGCTACTTTTCCCTTTAATTCCTGCCTCGTTTGCGGGGACGGAGGATCCACAGGCCATCTTCTTTCTTTCTCCGTCTTTGTTCCTACTTAGTCTTTGATGTTTCCGTTGCTGTGACAAAACACCCGAGGTAAGCAGCTTACACAGAGGAAAGGTTTCGACCCATGTTTGCTGGGCCCCATGGCCGCTGGCTGGGTCCGTGGTGAGAGCAGAACATCGCGGCAGAAGCATGTGGCTCAGGAAACGTGTCACCTGGTGGCAGCTGGGAATTGAGTAGACAGGAAGGGGCCAGGGTTCCAATAGCCCTTTCTTGGGAAAGGGCCCGCCCCCAATGACCTAACTTGCTTCCTTTAGGCTCCGCCTCTTAAAGGTCCCGTCCCCTCTCAGTCGTGCCACAGGCCAGAGACCAGGCTTTGAACACATGGGCCTTGAGGGACATTCCCAGCCTCAGCCTTGGAAGCAGCCATCTCCCCCAAGAGCCTGGATCCTTTTGGGGCTCAAAGATGTTTAGGATCCATGATCTGGTGGCAGGGGACAGCTCCTGCTCCCAATATGTCATGGCCTCCAGGCCCCTCGGGGGACGGGTCAGGAAGTGCTGCTGCATTTCCCCCCAGTTGTATTCGGGCACAATATTTCATTTATTTGTCTCTATGTGGTGCCGAGGGCGGACCCAGGGCCTCACACGTGCTGGGCGAGCGCTCTGTCACCGAGCCCCGGCCCGGTCCCCAGGAAGCTCTGGATATAGAATGCGCGGGAGTCACCCAGGCTCTTGCTCCAGTGCAGGGTCTGACTCAGTGCCAGCCGGGATTGCGTCAGAGCTCCGCACATCTGACCCGCTCTCTGGGTGTGCCGGGGCTGTCCATCCCCAGGGCACATGGAATACAGCGGTTCTCCAAACCTGGGGCATCGGAATCAACCGGACAGACGGCCACGCAGAGTCCTGGGCCGTACGCTAACGTTTCTGTCTCCAGCAACTTTGGGAGGGGGAGTGAAACTCGGCCTTTCTGTTTCTTTGGTCCTGGGGACTGAACCCAGGGACACTACCACTGAGCTATATCCCCAGCCCCTTTTTATTTTGTGATTTTGAGACAGGTCTCACTAAGTGGCTGAGGCTGGCCTCCAACTTGCCATCCTCCTGCCTCAGCCTCCAGAGTCGTGGGGATGACAGGTGGGCACACGGCCCCCTGCCAGGGCTGTTCTGCGAGATGGAGGCCATGGAGGGCTGTGGGCAGGAGTGGCGTGATCTGAACACCTAGCCAGGTCCCCGCCCCCCGTCGCGAGGCCAGCTGTCCCTCTGCCAGGCCGGGCACTGGCTGCCCGAAGGACTCTGGCTTCTGATGGGGAAAGGATGCTTCGCAGTCTGCAGACCGCCACCCTCATGTTGCCCGTGGGTTTGTGCAGAGTGACTTTCCAAGGCTTTGAGACCTTTGGAATCAGGTTTAGGCAGAGCCATAAAGTACTGCGACGAGGACAAGGACTTGGTGGACAGGGGACAGCTTCAACACTTCAGAGACACCCAGGAGGGAGGGCGCTGCTTTCAGAAAAGTCCCCACACACTGCACCTCCGTGTGATCACCTTCACATCTGTGAACTCTACCCTTAAACATGGGAAGAGGGTACATTCTTGCAATTCTTTGACCACAATAAAAAATAAGCTGGGGGCAGGGGGGCGCGCCTGTCATCCCCGCAGCTGGGGAGGCTGAGGCAGGAGGATCGCAAGGTGGAGGCCAGCCTCAGCCACTCAGCGAGGCCCTGAGCAACTCAGCGAGACCCTGTCTCTGAATAAAATGCAAAATAGGGTTGGGGACGGGGCTCAGGGGTTGAGTGTCTCTGAGTTCAATTCCCGGTACCAAAAATAAAAGAAAATTTAAAAAAATAAAGAAGAGCTGATACTATAAAGAAATTTGATGGAGGTCGACCAAATTGTGCCCATTTCTCACATTTTGGGCGGTTCTCAAGATGTCAAAGGGCAGCAGGAGACGGTCCAGTTCACCAGGGTAGAACGAAAGCTTTAGAGAAGAGGATAATGTCATTCACAGGGGAAGAGCAGCAGCCAAGCCTTGGCCCCTCCGTATTTTTTTCCCATTTTCCTTTGTGCAGTGGGAAAGGCCCCAGGTCCCCTGTCCCCCACGGAAGTCGGCCTCCCACCATCGAGACCTGGAGCCTGCGTGGGGTGGACTCCAGGGCACCAAGACGCAGCTCAGTGGACACAGCCCCCGGAGCCAGGGCCTGGCTGCTGTCCTCCTGGCCGTCACCTCCACCCCAGTGCTGGTGACTTGGAGATTCTGCTTATCTGTCCCCAAGGGCACCGCAGCAGGCCTGGGCTTGGCCGGGACAGGATTCCTGGGACGCGCGTCACCGTCTATTTTGACTCTGGCAGTTGTTGACATTTCTTCTAGGAAAGGAGGGGGCACCTGTTGGTAGGGTTCCGCCGTCCCCAGCGTGTCCCCGTTCAGGGCAAACTGAGCAGGGACAGGAGTGGCCCCGGGGCCCCTTGGGGGCTCTGGCGGCCCCTCACCCAGGACAGAGAGCTGCCCCGATGCCTGTCCACCTGCCCTTCCCCTGGGTGATCCGCGCCCTGGAGTTTCCTGGGCAGAAGCTGACAGTGATGTCACCGTCCCGTGATGCTGCTGGGTGACCTTGCTGACTGAGCCGGTCCCACTTATTTCTCCCGCACCCTTAAAGCTGCCCAGGGGACAACATCGCTGAGAACCGAGGTGGGGGGCAGGAGGCTGCAAAGGGGTCATTGCTTGGCCCTGGGTCCTCACCAGGCAGCCTGCTCCTCCTAGTTTGGACGATTCTTTTGGCCTGAAAATCTGGGCCCTGCTATTGTTACTCTTTTTTCTTTTTTGTGGGTACAGGGGGTTGAACTCAGGGGCACTCAACCCCTGAGCCCCGTCCCCAGCCCTATTTTGTATTTTATTGAGAGACAGGGTCTCCCTGAGCTGCTCAGGGCCTTGCTAAGTTTCTGAGGCTGGCCTCCACCTTGCGATCCTCCTGCCTCAGCCTCCCCAGCCACTGGGATGACAGACGCGGGCTAGGCTCACTGTCCCCCTTTCCTGGAGGAGGAAACTGAGGGTGGGGGAAGCTGAGTCTGGTTCACATCTTTCGAGCCACGGTGCTGGGCTCCGGATCAGGGCTCAAATCCACATCTTAACAAGGAAATGTGAGCTGTCTGAGCGAGGCCAAGTGTTTTATTGATTTTAACCCCAAACTTCGCCTCTGTGAGTCCAGTTCAGTGATTCCAGGCCGTTCTCGGGACATACCTCGGTGAAGCTGAGAGGACACTGGACACAGGAGGGCACGGAGGCTGTGACACGGAGCAAGGATCCGCTCACAGATGTTCTGTCCAGCGGGCAGCTGGGGACAGGGACAGGCCCCTGCGTGCTGACTGACAGGAGGCTCTGGCTGGGAGTCCCATCCTCAGCCCCACAGGCCGTGGGCAGCACCAGAAGCCTGTCTTTCCTTACGACTTCCATGTGGAACAAGGAATGTTTTCTGTTCTTTGCTTTTGGCAGCAGCAGCAGAGCGTAGGATGGAGTCTCACCAACCACCGAGACTGAAGGGGGTACGGAGCCAGAGCGCGCAGGCCAACGTGGGTCATGTTGCACACAGACCAAGGGCGCTGCGAAGGCAGAAGAGCGCCACCTGCTGTCACAGTTGAGATTAGGAAGTGAGCTGAGCGGTAAGGGGCCCTCCATCCATCTCAGAGGGGCAAGAAGGGCTGGTGCGCTCTTGCACGAGGACAGCAGGGACAATACGTCATGTGCCGTCATGGGCTGTCCACTTCAGAAGTCTGCCAGAAAAGATCTAGAAAACTGCTGCCCATGATGAGTATTTGAGGATAAAAAACCCATTTTTATGTTTTCATGCACCAGTTTAAAAAATGTGTGATTGATGGGGGTTTGGGGGTGCATGCCTGTTAGCCCAGGGACTTGGGAGGCCGAGGCAGGAGGGTCGCAAGATGGAGGCCAGCCTCAGCAAATCAGTGAGGCCCTAAGCAAGTTGGTGAGACCCTGTGTCAAAATACAAAATAAAATAAAAGAATGGACATGGGGTTTAGTGGCTGAGTGACCCTGCGTTCAATCCTTAGTACCCCAAAAAACAAGCAAAACAAAAACAAAATAAAATAATAATCCACATTTAGTTGGAAAAAAAATAAGACGGGAACTTTAGGTGCATTCTCTGGGCGTCTGAGATCATCGTTACTGTATATTACTTTATTGTGGGGGGTACTGGGAATTGAACTTGGGGGCACTCAGCCACTGAGCCCTGTCCCCAGCCCTGTTTTGCATTTTATTTAGAGACAGGGTCTCACTGAGTTGCTTAGGGCCTCGCTAAGTGGCTGAGGCTGGCCTCCAACTTGCCATCCTCCTGCCTCAGCCTCCCGAGCCGCTGGAATGGATTATTATTATATTTTAAAAATACTTTTAGTCCTAAATGGACGTACTACCTTTAGTTGATCTGTTTCTTTTTATGTGGTGCCAAGGGTCGAACCCAGGGCCTCCCACGGGAGAGAGGCCTCTCCTGTGGCCTCAGGCAGATCTCTGTCCCCCTCCTGGATTCTTCTTCCCTGTCTGCAATGACACCTGGGCCTCTGAGTTCCCCTTGACCCCGTCCCCCTCCCACCTCCCGTCCCCCGCCTCCTGGGCTTACTCTTCTGGGGGCTGTTGTCCCCTTGCCTAGTTGTGAGCCACCAAAAAGTCTCTTTTTCCCTTTTTCTTTCTTTTTCTCAGTTCTGGGACCCAGGGCCCTGTCCCCACTAGTCAAGGGCCCCGCCACCGAGCCTCGCTCCTAGCCTCCCGCCACCGGCCTCTTTATGTTGAGACGGAGTCTTGCGCAGTGGTGGAGGCTGGCCTCCAACTTGAGATGTTCCTGCCTCGGCTCACGGAGTTCCTGCCAGGGCTCACGGAGTGTCCCTCCACACGTGGCGCGTACGGGACCCCTGGGGGTGGCATGTGCTGAATGAACCACAGTATTTCCAAGCCACGAGTCTCCTGAAAGCCATCAGGGGAGAGAAATGAGCGGGCATTTGGGATAAGTCAGATGGGGGTTTGGCGGACCTCACGGCCTCCCGACGCCTTTTTCCTTTTGGGCTTTTTGCCTTGTTGTTGTTGCGGGGGCGGGGCCTTCCCGCACCGTCCCAGGCTGCTCCTGGAGAGGCCTTGCCGTCCTTAGGTGACCTTGGGGCACCTCCCTGGTCCCTCTGGGTTGGGAGCCAGGTGAGTCTGCAGCCCCCGGGCTCCTTCTGCTGTCATTCCCCACCTTCCCGAGGACAGGAGGGTCCCTGTCGCGTCCCCAGCCTGATGCCCACAGCGCGGCCGGCAGGTGGGGCTGGCAGGGGGGAGCCCGGGAAGAAACTCCTCCAGAGTCATCCTTGGCAACCCCTAGGGGCCAGGTGGCTTCCACACCCTGGAAACTTCTAGAAGCTGCCAAGAAGATAGGCATCTACACGCTCTGGAGTGTTTGCAGGGAGCGACGGCCGGAGGGAGTTCAGAACACGCCTGGCCTCTTCTCCCTGGGGTCAGGGACGCAGGGCGCAGCCTCGCAGCTGGCATATCTGTCACCTCTGGCAGGTGGCGGTCACAGGGCGTGTGGCCCAGGACAGCAGGCAGGACGGGGCGAGGGGAAGCAGGGGACCAGAAGTGGCCGCTGAGCTTCGTGGCCCGGCCCAGGGCGACCCCTGGCCCTTGCAGATGTTTTCCGTGATCAACACGCGGAGAGCCACTCAGATGGCATCGTCACCCGGGGGACAGTCCCCTCCCGACAGTGGTGTCGTCTGTAAGAGTGAGTCACAGGGAACGGCCCGCCTCCGGGCGAAGTTTGAGGATGTGCCCAAGTCACAGCTCTGGCCCCTCTGGACGGTCCTGAGACCTTGTCCCTCTGTGGCTCATGACCTTAGCTCCACTTGGGACACTCAGAAGTGACTCGGGTGGACTTCAGGGCCCCTTCATCTCAAAGACGTGGCAGGCGGTGGCCACTCATGAGTGTCCCTGCCACCACTGGATCAACGGGCAGGGTTTCCATTTTTAATGGGGAGCCCAGGGCCTCACCTGGGCCAGGTAGGTGCTCTGCCACCAGCCGGACCCCAGCCCCAGGATCTTCAAAATGGTGACAGATCTTCAAACTGAGCTTCTATAACGTCTATGGCTGACGGCGACAGTGAGACTAAGTAGGTGCTTAGGAAAACCGTGACCCTGACGTGATGCGGACACAAAGTGCTGATGTGGACTTTGTTTAAAACCGTCCTTCTTCACACGAGGGCACATGAATCACGGTGTTTAGACACCAAGAGCAGGTTGACACCCAGGTGGCCTTCAGGATCCATGTGCTAAGGACCGCTCAGGTGAAATGTGATGGGATACGGGGACAGAGGGGCACAGCGTCCTGATTTTAACACGCGGTGTCTTTATTGAATTGCTATTTACAGTTTGGGTCCCAGGAGAACCTGCGGCAGAGAGTCCTGACTATCACCCATCTGGCTGACCCTTTTTTTTGTTGTTGTTGTTGGTCCTGGGGATTGAACCCAGGGGCACGCACTTAGCCACTGAGCCCCGTCCCCAGCCCTTTTTCTATTTTATTTAGAGACAGAGTCTCACTAAGTGGCTGAGGGCCTCACTAAGTGGCTGAGGCTGGCCTCCAACTTGCGATCCTCCTGCCTCAGCCTCCTGAGCTGCAGGTATGACAGGCGTGGGTCACCCTACCTGGCTGTATCTTGCATAACAGATGAAAGTCCTGTACACACAGGTGACATCGATTTCTCTGCTTCTGCACTGGCTCTGTTCCCGTTTACTGTGCAGTCATTATTTCAACTGATGAATGATCAAAAGCAGGAGATGAGTCCCTAAGTTCTTAGAAAGTTCTTTTCACAGGAAAAGAAAAGTGTGTGTAGCAGGTGGGACCCTCCTGAAAATCCAAGGGGGACCCTAAGGGAAAGGGAGTCAGCGTGTGGGAAAGTGGGGACAAAGTGCCAGGGAGTGGCATTGGCCCAATGATGTCGTCATAGTGTGTGTGTAAGAATGTGCGACCACACACCCCACCATGGTGTGCAGCCGTCATGCACCCATAAAAAATAAGTGACAAGTTCCTCTTAGCATTTCTGAAATATGTAAATAATCCTACCAATTCCTCCTTTCCTTATGGCCCTGTAAGGGAATCTGCGTTGCTCTGAGTCTGACCGAGTGCCATCCCATATTTTCTCGTGTTCCGTGACACCCGGTTAGTGACGACGTCCCCTTTTCTCCTGAGAACAAGATGGGTGTCCACTAGGGGGAGGAGCCAGGGCGCCCGGGGTCTGCAGTGGAGGGTCACCGTGGGCCCACGGTCAGGGCCCAGGAGTCCGACTATCTCACCTCGAGTCACTGAGTTGGACTCTCAAGTCACTGAGGGACTCCAGATGTGGCCTGGCCGTCTCATGAGTGACAGAAGGTTCTGGTCCCCCCAGCACTGACGCCGTCCAGTTGAGGTGGACGTCCTCTACTGAGGCTGTCACCCTGGCCAGGCTGCCCACGGGGTCCTGTGTCTACAGAGCGGCTCTCGTGGTCAGGGCTGGGCACATCTGACCACTCCCTCTCCACAGTGCTGTGGAGTGTGACAGCTGCTTGGAGTTTCGTTGCCAAACCATGAGTCTGAAGTGCGGCCTGGACTGGGAAGGGACCCTGTGTCAGAGGTGACTCGTGGGTCAGCTCACCTGGCCCCAGTCATCCACAGTATTGGGCAGGTTTTTTTTGTGTGTTTGTTTTTGGTACCAGGGATTGAACTTGGGGACAGTTGACCCCTGAGCCCCGTCCCCAGCCCTATTTTGTGTTTTATTTAGAGACAGGGTCTCCCTGAGTTGCTTAGGGCCTCTGTTTGGCTGAGGCTGGCTTTGAACTGGAGATCCTCCTGCCTTAGCCTCCCGAGCCGCTGGGACGACCGGGGTGCGCCATGCCGTTCTAACGTGACTCTGTGTGGACTGAGTTCTCTGCAGGTTTCAATGTTTTCTGGAAACTTGGTCGTTCCATGAGGACAGTCCTGGGACTCATGCTGAACTTCCCCAGCACCATGGGAGCCATCCACAGGGCCACCAGGGGTCCCTGTGCCCACTACCTTCCTGTAAGTGCCCTCATGAAACCTCCAAGATGGGGATCTAGGTGTGGCATCTGCTGGCAAGGACTCCAGAGGAGTGTGACATCACCAGAGGCTCCCCTCCAGGTATGTGACAGCACGTGGCAGGAACCACCAGTCCCCAGCTCCCGCGACGTGGCCACCAGCTGGTGGCTGGGGCTGAGTGCTGTGTGCTGCAGAGGCCCAGGCACAGCTCCCAGGACCCCGGAGAGCATGGCCCTGGGGACAGCCCTCCTGCAGCCTTGGGTAGGCGGCCTTGACTTGGGGACCGTGGCAGGGCCCTGGTTGAGTTATAGGGACTTGAACCCCAGCTCCCCAAGGCCCCCCAACTTACAGTGCCCCCCCCCTTCCTGCCAGCCGCGTTCACTCTGCACTTGCCCTGTCCTGGTCCCCATCCCTGTGTCTGGCTGTTAGATGAGGGGCGTGTGTGGGCTGCGGCTGTCCTGTGCCAATGTCCCCAGGTCACATGGCAGGGTCCTGTGTTTTAAAGTCAGGGGTGAACAATCCCGGGGGGCTGTGGGTTCCAGGAGGAGGGGGACCGAGGGCGGAGCAGAGGTGTCCAGAGACTGAGGCACGAGGTGCTGGGGAGGGCAGGCAGACGGGGGAGCGCAGGGGGATGGCAGGGTGACCCCCAGGCTGCAGGGGCCTCTCAGCGCCCTGTCCCCTTGCTCCACAGGGGTCCTGCTGCTCCTCAGCCCTCTTTGACACCCTGCAGAGTTTTTTTTTTTTGAGGATTACAGATGAACATGCCCACAAAGTGCCTCTGGCCTGCGCATGCTGTTCCATCAAGGGTGGTGACTCTCCTGTCCCCTGTCCTCGTCATTCAGGCCCGAGTTCTGCTCAGGAAGGCCTCCCAGATGGCCGCTGGCTGTCCACCCACCAGAGCTGCAGGTCCCCGTTTCCCGCAGCGAACAGCTTTGCCCCCAGGGACCACTGACCCCGAGGAGCAAGCCCAGGGGTGGCTGCAGGAGGCTGGGGTCCCTTGCGCCCTGGGCTCAGCACTCCGTCCTTCCCTGTTAGCTTGTGGGGACAGGGCAGTAAATGGAACCTGTGGACACCACTAAAGGCATCTCTGGGCCGTGGCTCAGTGCGCGTCCCTCGTGAGCACACGGCAGGGCCCATGGTGGATGTGCCAACAGCACCC